TCAGCCCCGGTAACTACCTTCTTCAACTCTTTGTAGTCTTCAAAGGGCTCCGTCCGTCCTTTAATAATGTCATATAGAAGGGTGTGATCGACGGCTCTCTCCGCTAGGGTAAGGACGTGTGACTTGTCCTTCTTGTACCCGGCATCCTTCAGCAACAATTCAAACTCTTTGAAAAAGTCGCCGGCCGAAGACTTCCCCTGTCGGATATAGGTTAGTTTATCATGAGCCTCCTTCTCCTTTGCAACATTTGTGAATTCTTTATCCATATCGTCAATGAGCTGCTTTCCAGAGATGTCCCATAACCCTGTCATGAAACGATCTTTTTTCATTATTCTTTTCTTTTATTATTCTTTTCCTTTTCTTTTATTTACTTACCTAATCACCAAAGCGCTTACACTAGCGCTTATTATATTTTCATTATCATTTAGGTTACACGCGTCAACCTTATTGTTCTCGCGTTGTCGTTTCACTTAGGCGCGACTCTCTCGTGCCTGTCAGTTCATTGACAGGACGACGTCATTATCGTCCCGCTTCCATGCTTCTTTTTATATTGCCTTATTGTTTACTCACCTAATACCTACAGCTTTACTTATGGATACGAGCGACTCTTATTGTAGATCCTCACGGTTACAGTGCGAGAAGTATCTCACGGCTTCATATCCCAATAAGTATATAAGACTTAGTATTTTGTAGTTATATTCCTTAGCTCTATTCTCGTCTATTCTCCTCGGTAGCTAGACTTGTAGTTGGGTTGTTTTATCCATCCGCTTTTTGCTTTTTCATCCTCTTGCTCATTGTCTATCGTGTGACGCCTGGTTGTCTCTTGTGAGAGCTAGCGAGTCGCTGACAAACCCCTTGTTGATGTCAAAGTGGTCATCAGTGTAGACCTGGGCCCATTTGTCAGCTTTTCCTCCAACCAGGAAGGACATGATAATGGTGGTGACACGATGGGAATTGTCGACCTGCTTCGTCTCCGTTAACTCGGAAATGTAGGCCATCATTCTTTGTCGCCATGGTCGATAGGTGGCGGGATCTCCATCGTAGTTCCCTGGTGTATTGACAAACACCCGGCGTGGATTAGAGGTGATGTTAGTGACTTCTGTTGGGTCGGGAGCATGTATCGACCAATCAGTCATGTTGGGTTATAGTAGGGAGGGATGAGCATGTTTGGTAAAAATAAAATGTGTAACGTATCGAGAAAACTAGTTTCCAATGGAATGTTGAATACTAGGCAAGTTTGTAAAATGTTTGTGATGGGTGGTGTGTGGTAGAAGCTCTATTCTTCTGTCAGCGACTCGCTAGCTCTCACAAGAGACAACCAGGCATCACACAATAGACGATGAACAAGAGGGCGAAAGAGCAAAAAGAGGATGGATAAGACAACCCAATACTAGTCTAGCTACCGAGGAGAATAGACGAGAATAGAGCTAAGGAATATAACTACAAAATACCTAGTATTATATACGAAATGGGATATGAAACTGTGAGGATCTACAATAAGAGTTGCTCGTATCCATAAGTAAAGCTGTAGGTATTCGGTGAGTAAACAATAAGGCAATATAAAAAGAAGCATGGAAGCGGAACAATAATGACGTCGTCCTGTCAATGAGCTGACAGGCATGAGAGAGTTGTGCCTAAGTGAAACGACAACGCGAGAACAATAAGGTTGACACGTGTAACCTAAATGATAATGAGAATATAATGAGCGCTGGTGCAAGCGCTTCAGTGATTAGGTAAGTAAATAAAAGAAAAGAGAAAAGAATAATAAAAAGATTAAAGATCGTTTCATGACAGTAACTTCGCTGTGAACCGCGCATAAAAGCAATGGTTCACACTTGGCATTCTTGCAAGCACGGTTGAAAAGTTCTGCATTGACAAGAGCAATGTCGATCTCTGGGTTTTCAAGTCGTGAAGCGGCCAATTGAGCTACCAAAGGATAGGAATAGATGGGTTCATAGGGGAAAGTGTGATGATGAAGGGAGAAAGCACGGAGGAGGCACAGGCTCAAAGCACAAACCAAGGTGAGGGGTGGGGCTAGCACCACACACGAAGGCAGAGAGAGGTAATGATCAAGACAACAGTGACAGCGCAAGGGCCAATCACTAGGGTCACACAAGGAAAACTAGTTCCAAAGACCAAGTTTAGTATATTGACTGTAAAGAAGATACAAATACTAACCTAGTTCCAAAGACCAAGAGGTCAAGATGGGGAACTAGGTGTCAATTACGGTACTATATATAGGAGGGTCCAGATGAGTAAGCGGCAGCATGGGAATGGAAAGCTTATGGAAAAATGGATGAGTAAGCGGCAGCGTGGGAATGGAAAGCTTATGGAAAAATGAAGTAGGTACCCATATATGTCACGACACAATCCAAAGTGTCAGCAACTTGCTAGCTCTCAAAAGTGATAACTAAGTGTCATGCAATAGTTGATAAGCAAAGAGGATGAAAAGACAATAAAGTGGAAACAACTCAGATACCAGTCTACCTACCAAGGAGAATAGACAAGAATAAAGCTAAGGAATATAATGTCATATGTATGTGAATCAAGTTATTCTGCAATTCCGCGATCCATTTACCTACTTCGCAAAGAGTTCCTAAGCTCAGGAATCCTTCGTTATCTTTCCTAATCATTATCGGATGAGTACTATACCTATTATATCCCTTCCTTTGTTCTTTACTCCACAAGCTAGTCTATTCGGAGTTAGTATCACTTTGCAACGCTTATGTAATGCATAGTATAAAGCTACAACATCGAATAGGTAGTTCTGTAGTTTTAATATCAACTTAGATCTGCTCTCTCTTTGTATTACAGATATTCACTATCCGTGATACATTCTCAACACAGCTCTGATGTTCCGCGAAGCAACCTTTGCGAACTGATGCTGCTATTACCTTTATATTGGACCATTTACATGTTGAGGGCACTACCAATAGTGGTGTTGATGTCCAACTACTTTTCCATAACTCCGCGAATCGTTCCTCCCTTCACGAGGGAATTATCCCCTCGCATTTCCAACAAATTCCGCGATTACATTGCGATCATTCCGCAATTATATTGCGATTATTCCGTGATTAAATTGCGATTATTCTGTGATTCCGGAGTTGCACGATCTTAACATATAACTACAAAGTATCTATCATGAGGTCTCATGATGTGCCCTTTGATGTGCCATCATGAGTGTGTTTCCATCAATCCCTTTTCACATGTTTACCATACTTTATCATTTGATCATTTCTTTAGTTCTTTTAGTTTTTTATACTTGTCTTTGTTTATCATTGATTCATTATTACTCATATATACTGATTCCTCATACTGATCTCATATTGTATCATCATCTGTTATATCTGTGTGAAGTTAAGTCCTTACTGTAAGATACTTGTGAATATAGTATTCTCAGAACACACCGGGGGGGTGTAAGAACTCGTATTGAGAAAATAACTACCTGTAAGATATGTCGTGACATGCCATACAGGATATGGTACTTACTTCGTTTTCTCCTACATTCCCTCTTTCCTTTACCTTTGTGACTACCTGAACCCTTCTCCATGTTTCCATATCCTTTTATTTCCATCTATCACTTGTCAGAACCTTCCATCACATTCCAGACACTTCTATCAGCTTCCCGTGCTGTTGCTTACTCATCCGAACCCTTGTATATATAGTACAGTAGCTGACACCTAGTTCCCCATCTTGACCTCTTGGTCTTTGGAACTAGGTTACTACCTGTATCATCATTTACCTTCAATATACTTACTTGGTCTTTGGAACTAGTTTTCCTTGTGCGACCCTAGTGATTGGCCCCTGCGCTATCACTGCCGTCTTGATCATTTTATCTTTCAGCCTTCATGTGTGGTGCTAGCCCCACCCCTCACTTCGGTTTGTGCTTCGAGCCTGTGCCTTCTCTGTGCTTTCCCCCTTTGTCACCACAAGATACTTGTGAATATAGTATCTAAACAAAGTTTTAGTAATCTGTTAGACTTAATAAACAATGATTAGTACTCACTCTCAGAACACACTGGGGGGGTGTAAGAACTGAGAGTGTAGACTATGTTATCAATAGTATATATACAAATAAGACAACCTGGAAATGGTAGAGCAGGTGCAGTCAATTTATGAAAGTAAAACCGGAACGCAAGACATGATCAAAAGAAAGTAATTGCCGATGATTTGAGATTGATGATCAGGAGACAAACAATCGGGTTAATCAAGGGAAAATGACCTATCGGAATGCTAGGGATAGGGCAAAGTATGCGCCTCTTCAATGCCCTATCTTTTACACTTACAAAGCTTTGCAACTGTTCTTCCATCTTTTAGATATATTACTTACATTTCCATACCACTACATATTCCTTTGCACAAAGGATTTCCAATGCAAAGTAATTCTTTGTTATCTTTCCTCATTGTTATCTGATGAGTTATCATTCCTTTTATATTCTCTCTTTATTCTTTTTCTGATGAGCTAGCCCATTTGGGGATGGTATTACTTCGTGATCCTGATGTAGTCCACAGCATAAAGCTATGGTATTGAATAGGTAGTTCTTCAGTTTAAGTTTCAACTTTGATAGCACTTTGATAGTGATACCAACTAATGACCATCTATGCTCATTATCATTCCAACCAACAAAGCACCAATTGGCAACTCTGATCACATTCTTGCAGAGAAGATATGTACTGATGCCTTCTATAAGCAGCTCCAATTAGATGATCTCTTCGTGATTATTAAAGTAATGCAACTTACAGTAAAGCTAGTAGTAATCCATATATTTATATTCAACTGTATATATCTCAAATCCTTGTAGTATGGTGGCAAATAAGGATGATAAGGATGGATGAGTTGTGTGCCCATCCCAAATTAGTTTTGAATGGAGTACCAAACAAAACCATACAAACACGGAAATCTCAGGCATTGCCGGTACTTAGGGTTAGATTGTTGAAAACCCGGAAAGAGTCTAAGAATTCTCAAGATTCTGTATAAGTACCTGGGATTTTGTTGCTATGTCCGCGTAACTCAGTGGTAGAGTGTGAGATTGCAAGCTTGCAACATCTCGAAGCCCCGTGTTCGAACCACGGCGCGGACTTTAATGGTTTTTCGCTTTTTTCCCCCATGTAACAGAAAACGTACCGTACATTCATTCATTGTACACCATTCTTCCCACTTTGCGCAATGTCCCAACAACGTTGATTCGATGTCGATGTGGCAAAGATTATTGACAAAGAGTAAGAGTTGATACCTTGCTTCAATGGTGACATCCAGCCTTCTGCACTTGCGTATGTGAGTACTAGAGTATGAGCGTGACGAATTACTGTACATAACCAATTTGTATCATACATCTATAGTTTCTGGATTCTGAGGACTCTAAATCTACGTATATCTATCTATCGTATCCAACAAAGTAAGTATACACGGTGAGTATTAGTAGGGTGATGATACAGAAGTGTAAATATACAGCCTGCTCAAGCTAAAAAAAAACAAAAGTCGCTATTACATGGAAGGCTTGGAGTTAACGAGTCAATACAATTCTGATAGCTTGCGGCTTAACCCGATTATATCGACTGAAAAGCCTCTTGTATCTTTGCCAACTGATAGCCTGTCATAAATATGAATGAGAGGAATGTGTTGTGCACAAGTTTCGCTCACCAATTAATGGTGATTCCACGGAAAATACCGCCATCGTCGCGAACACCTTCTCTAACATCCCTACCAGTTGCATTTCGTCTTCGGAGCTACTTTCGAGACCGCTATTACCTATTCCCCAACTTTCTGTTCTTGCAGAATGCAAATGGCTCCCACCCGCGGCCATCCCCACTCCGCCGGTAGCGGCACTTATCCTCCGCATCCTCTGTATCTCGTCTATAAGCACCTGGCAAACACTAGTCCAGCACGAGCCCAGTACGGCGTTGATATGCGACGCCCTGCTCATGTCGACTTGACGGAGAAAGGATACGCACGCGCGTGTCGCTGATAGAGCTGTTCTTCGGGAGTGGGAGTTGGTATTGATGAAGACGCTATGAAGTTGGATTGTGGCACAATATGCTAGAGTGTGTGCAGCGAGGATTGTGCCAAAGTCATAGGAGGTGTGCTGATTAAGAGGTAGGAAACCGAGACTTGATTGAAAATTGCTAATGAGGTTGTCGAGAGAGGAAAATGAAGCGCCAAAGCGGGAGGCTTCGTCTGCGTTCATGTCTGTAATCATCGTCAACATTGATACCTGCATATAAATAAAATAGTACAAACCATGTCGATACAACGAAGCGAGGTTAGCTGCTCTGTCGAGTAAAATTGACGATTTCGCAAACATGGCCATCACTGAAAATTCCTTCACCGAAGAAGATGGCACCTGCCTAAAGAAATTTTGAACGGTCATAATGCTCTGGTGTCCTGCTGGCAGCAGTTCCTGTGGGGTGTGCAACGAGCCAAAATCAGCACCGTAGTTCCAGGTCTCTCTAGGAGTATTCCACATCACCTGCTCATAATCCGCCATATCCAATGGCCATGGCGTATCGATTGTCGATCCATGGCTCTCAAATACCGCGCTCGACAACGTCCCTACGGCGACTCCCCAACAATTACTTAGCGTGTATACCATCCAGAATGCATTTATCCTTTCACCCTCCTCGATCTGATCGCTTGGGGGCGTCAGCAATGGTCCTGCGACATTAAATTGTTGGAAGAGTGAAATAATAGCAATGTTTCCACTTCCCGTTGGTGATGCTCGGATTTTATGTAGCTGTGCTCCGAGTGTGAGAGACACAGCCGCCGACATGTGGTATTTGCCCTCCAATATACGCCCAGTTCGGAAAAAATACACCGAGAGGAGTATTTCTGCCTGTATGGCATGAATAATCCGGTGAGGATGAGTTGACGAGAGTATATTGGCCGTATGCGCAAGAGCACGGGCAAGATAGACGTGCTCTTGGTTATCAGCATCACCCGATAGGTGAAGACCTAGTAGATACACTGCACTCAGTAGCCCCGCACAAGGCCGCGAAAAATGCCCCAGCGGAAGTGGTAATAAAGCAGAATTTTGAAACCGAGCGAGGTTGAGAAAGAAACCCATATCTAACGCGTGTGGTAGAAAGGTCATTAGTCTAGAAGAAGCGTCAGCACGTTGATTCTCGAAAAAAACTTAGTAACGTACAGCTGTTGCACAACATCACTTGAAGGCTCCTAGATCATATATCTCGTTAGATATTAATTTATCTAAACAATCGATTAACCCATTTACCTCCTCAAACGCCGAATGTGTCGAACTGTGTCCAGAAGACGATGCAATAGAAGGGCTATTAGAGCTACGTTGAGTATCTAAAACCAACAATAACATGCATAAATTTTGTCATGACGCTACTAAAGAAAGTACTAGAACAAACCAATTGGGCTAGATAAGGTACTACTACGTATTGAAGAACCTGTCGATGGAGGTGCAATGAGAGCAGGGGAAGATTGACTGGAGAAGCTGTAGGGCAAATGAAGTCGAACAGCATTCTCGTCGTCTGGTTCTTCAAGCTCGCGTATGCGCGCCTCTAAACGGGAAATATTATCTTCTAGCATCTGCGTCCGGGTACGTCCACTGTCGGCGTATTCACAGGCATCCCCTGGCCTTGCGCTCCGTAGGCATTGCGTGCAGGTGGGTCGGAGGCCATCACATTTCTGGAAATCGCCAGAAATAAGGATTTTAGAGAAAATGGGTCGCAGAAAATGAGGGGGGCAATGAGTACTCACGATTTTTCGTTTTCTGCAAGATGTTTAGAGGCAAGAATGATTAACGAAGCAAATTATTCACCTGCAGTTACTACAGGCTTTGCCTCTCTGAAGGGAGTAGGGCGAATTAGTAAGTTTTGATGAGGAAGGCACGCGTTCCGAAGTCATAGTTGAGATGATCAGCGATTATACAGAGAAAGTTTATTTGTAATACGAGAAGAAAAGCACAAAGACGGTACGTTGAGGTTAATCCATTTGGCCCGGTTGCTCTCGTACTTATATACTCATGCGCCACATCCCAGTGACTTCGTCTTTGCAATGACCAGTATGAATACGGAGAACGAATCGTGGGGATCCAACACAGCATAGGGCTCTTGCAGAGATTCGAATGACTCTTCCGAGTCCTAGATCTAGAGAGCTCATTTAACATGAGTCAGCCGATAGCCATAAAGAGGACGCGCATCGGCACGGAAGTTCGCCTTCGTCTGGACTTCAAAAAATCGGACGAATACCTTACACAAGGCGCATATGAAAGTGGGTTCTGACCTATTATATCCGGTCGTCTCATTCAAAAAGTCGCACAAGCTTTCTCGAAACACTGAACTTCTGCGACTCGAACATCCTCGAACAGTATGGAAGCAACCGGAATGTCCTTGTAACCGGAACACTAAGTGGCTTCTCTTTGACGCGAAAGCTGTTGTCGGTAGTTTTGCAGATTTGAAAGCTCAGCTTACCAACCCCGCACAATCTTCTCACCTTGAAGTGTTCGCCAAGAGGGAGTTGGGTATTGGCAAAGATGGCGTTGCTGGTCGTTCTTGCTTACAAAGTCATGAGCACGATAGCAATAGTCTTGCAAACTTGCTTTGTATGATAATCTTTCCCCTCCGAGTCCGCATGCGTTACTCATTGGACTTGGACGCTATGGAATCCGGACTGTACGGATGTGGAGAGTCGGTATATGTTAGTTCCGTTCGGGTTCTGTTCTGCGTGTACCCAGCTTGTACCGCAGTGGTCGTTGAGAGGCATTGGAATATTCCTCAACGGATTCACTGACCTCCATATTAGGATTATACACGCAGGAGAGATGATATTCCAAATTTTATTCATAAACTCAGCTTTGACCTTGGACCTGATCGACCTCAGCTACAGATCTCATACTGTCCGATCCAAGATTTGTTGAATCTCAGGAAGATCTTTCGAATCGAAATTTCTCTACGATTTCAGCGGCAACATACAGTATACCTATGACAAAGGAGATCAACATTGATATCAGGATATCTCGAAGAACATGACAAACACTCAAAATAATAAATATCCTCAGCCCTTTATTAGTCCAGGTTTATTCGCTGTCATCCAGTCATCCAAAATTTTCCAGAAATGCGCTACCACACTTTTGTCGATGTGTCTTCGTTGTTGGTCAATCTTACAACAGCATAAGATTATTGACAGCGTGGTTAATAGGAAAGCACCTTCAACTCGGTGACGTTCCAATCCTTTATTTTGGGGTTGCGTGAGTCATTTGCCCAAGAGACGTATATGCCTTTAACTTAGTTGCAGTTAAGCTTCAAGGATTATACAGATTCAAATTCATACTATTACCGTGATGAAATAAAACTTTGGGTTCGCTCCATTTGTACGAACGAAACTGCCACGCCTGCCCAGTCGTCATCACGCAAACTACACGGTCCCAAGCATCGGGACCGAATTTTGTTAAGGCGTCTTGCGAGTCAATAACAATATACCTAAGCAAAAGGGCGATCAGTCAGCACAATAAAATTCGATGCAAACCTCCCACCTTTGCTGGACAATAGTCTCTTTACCACTGGGTTCAATATGGGTAAGTTTCCGGTCAATGACTATGACATCGTCCGGCCGTACGTTGCCCTCAGCCTGCGCACGCGATCGGGCATGTTCAGAAAGTTCAAAACTGACCATTTTCGCAGGTCAGCATAAAAAATCGAAAATAAGAGGAACGTCGTACGTGGACTCCTGCAGGAACTTCTTGACATTGTACATAGTAATCAAGGCAGTAGGAGACGATGAAATCATGACTATTGGCCAATTGGGTCCTACACGTAATTTAGCAAAACAGATTCCATAGAGTTTAGGAATCACTCACTTTTTTTCTGAGACAGCATCTTCGAATCCATACCCTGCATAACATTTGATGATGGTGTAGGAGCAGTTTTCCCAACATTTTCTTTCATCTTCTTGAGCTTTTCGGCGAACTGTGTGCGTACGGAAGAGAAGTTCTAAATGATGACACAGTCAGTATCCCAGAGTGTTGAGGAATCCAATATAATACACATTCATCTTGATCCCTCTTAGGACACTATTTCGATCTCTCAATTCAATCTCTTGCATTCGGATTTTCTTGAC